TGACGGGCCCAAAAAAAAAAAAAAAAAAAAAAAAAAAAAAAAAAAAAAAAAAAACTCTCCAAAAGGGACCAGCAGATGGTGTAGTGGTTACATCACTGAACTCCCACATGGATGATGGCAGTTCAAGGCCTGAACCTGGTGGCTTTAAACTCACACTAGGCACGTGAGCATGCGTGCCCAAGGTCCCAGAATTAGAATAAGGAGAAGGGATTGTAGCTGGCCATCCCCCTGGGGTTGGAGTGGGGGTGTGAGTTCTCATTGTCCCTCTCCTCTCCCTCTCCCTCTCCCTCTCCCTCTCTCTCTCTCTCTCTCTCTCTCTCTCTGTGTGTGTGTGTGTGTGTGTGTGTGTGTGTGGGTGTGTGGGGCACAAGACCTATTCTCAGTCTCTCTCTGGAGAGGGCAGGCACCCTAAGGCTAAAACTTCTTAAAAAAAAAAAAAAAAAGACGTAGGCAGTGTTTGCAAGTATAGAACTACTGTTTGCAGTGACCAAAAGAAAAAGACAGAGTACAGAGATGCCCTGAAAGTAAAATTCAAAGGTGGAAGTAGACTGTCGTCCAAAGGGTTTGTTCTGACAAATTTAGGAGGCAACACGTTACGCTTGGAAAAGATTATCCTTTCTTCATCTCCAGTGTCCCCAAGAAGACACCAGAGTGAGGTGGGGAGACGCAGCTCCGGGATCCGGAGCCAATTGCGGTGACAGGACACACAGAGTGGAGAAGCGCGTGGGTCGGGCTAGGGGCAAGCAAGGCCCTAGGGCGACCTCCCCTCCGACCCAGTTTGCTGGCGGCGCCACCTCCCGGACTCGCTGACTGCGTGCGCTCAGCTCTGGTGCCGGGGCTGCCCCTGGATTTCAGCCAAATGGGAGACAGCCAACTAGACCCTCTTTCCCCTGATCTCTCCAAAAACTAAAGATCAAGCAGACAAAAACTGATTCCCGACCTTCGACTCTTCCCTGCTCTCCAGGCCTTTCTCCAGGAATAACTTAGTGACAGGGCGGAAGGGGGTCCTGCGGGGCTCAATCCAAAAGACTTCCCGGCATTGAGCTCCCATGTTTCCAGTTTCACGCTGGGATAGCGGAGGCGGGCTTATTTCTGCCTGACTCCCACCTCTGCCCTTCGTCCATCCCGTGCTAAAACAGCAGCGAGGATGGGCGGCGAGGTGGGCGTTTTCCTGGTCTGTGGCTCCATCCCTCCCCCCCCCCACCCTGGAACGCGCTGTGGGGCCGCAGTTCTCCAGAGCGCGGCGCTGCGCACGCTCTTATCCCTGGAGCCGCGTCTGTTCCTGCGCTGACGCCGGGCTCAGCCAGGCGGCTGGAATTGAGTAGCATTCATTGAATCTGCGGATTTCATGACGTCTCCTTGCGTGGTCCATCACTTTTCTCCTAACCGGGGATTTTTCTTTTTTTTCTGCCACTCTCGCCTGTCCCTCTTCCTCGCACCCGGTCTCCCTCCCGCGTCCCTGCCCGAACGCACACCCCTCCGCCCCTCCTTTGGCCCCAGCGCCCAGCCTTCCTCTCCGCTCGCGGCCAGAGGGGGGCACGCCGA